CTAGGAGAGGAGACTTCTGTATTGAATTAGAGGCTGAAATCATTGCCTGCTATGGTTTTAGGAAAGATGTGAGACCTTGAATTCTTTAGGAAACACAACACATTCGTTCCCTTATTGTACTTCTGGTGAAAACTGTGATGTGGGATTTACTATGTGGCAAGGATGTTTCTGGTCACTGTGTCAGTGTCAACACATTTATTCCTTAGAGAAACATAACGTGGGGAGGTGCAATGATTATTCCCATTTTGGTGACAAGAAAATCAACACAGGAGGGTTGGTCACTTGCCAGAGCCAGGTGGGAGTTGGCAGAGCTGGGGTGAGGATGTGGATGACCCACTTCGAGGTTCAGGCCCTTCCCCTTAGCTCCCCTAGCCAACTGGCAAAGAGTCTGGGTCAGTCCTGCCCTAGTCAGAGCTCTGTGGGGAGGGATCCCGGCCTGCTGAAAGGCTCCCCATGTCAAATCGGTGTTTATAGAGGAAAACATGAGACTTCAGTCATCCATTAATAGCTCTCACCGTGCAAGATGGCTTTCAGTCAAACGGAACCAGCGGGCTAAGAGGCCATTTTTCCAGAAAGAACCCGTTGGCTCCTTTTCAAAATAGACTTTTAACACTTTTGTTGAGCTTTAAAAATGTCAAGTGAGGCTTTTACTGCCAGAGTGAATTCCCTCCCACAACCGGCTAACAGGCTCACTCCAGTTTTGTCCTGGGTGGTGCGGAAGGGAAACAAATACTTTTAAAGGGTACACAGGACCCGTGCTTGCCCTCATCCCGGGCATGGAAGTCTGCACAGTCTACAGCAGTGGTGATGGCCTCTGAGTGCTTCAGGGTCGTGGTGTCACTCCATTTTTTTTTTTTTTACAATGTAATAAAGTAGTTAATATTAACTTTCAGCTCTCCTTGGTATTTGTATACATATAGAAAAGTATTCACCAGGCAATTTGCAATCCTGCAGTCATTTCTCTTTAAATAAATGAGTCCTAATTTCCCCTCCTCACTGTCCTGTGCCCATTGGGAGCTGCTCCCTCTTACTGTCTGCACTTCTGTAATCATGCAGCCCACTTGCTCTCAGCCACTCACAGCGGTGGCTGCTGCCAGGTCTTTATGCCCCAAGCCTCTTCTTGGTTGTCCCTGCTACTTTGGAGGAAACGTCACCACCTTGGTCCCTGCACAGCCGGGGGTGAAATGATGGCTGATTCCTTGTGTCATGGAGGCAGTCAGCCATGCCTGATGGAAACAAAGCACGCCCTGGCCACACTCAGGGTGGGAAGATCTCCTCACCCCAGGAGAGGGACTCTTGTTCTATCTCCTATTGATTGGTTGTTCTACCAGGAGCTCTTCCAGCCAGGTGGCAATTTCTCTTTTCCGGTAAATATACATTCCCCACAGGAGCAAAGAAGCTCATCACTGTGCCTGTGCTTCTTCGGTTGGTTGGTAAAAAGAAAACGACCAGCATGTTGTAACTCAACAGCCATCTTGGTCAATAGACAGGTGAGTAACCCAGTGAGCTCTTATTTTATTTTTGAAATGACACATCAGTACTCACTTCAAATTACTGACCCCTTATTCTGAATGTAAGGCACTGTTTAGTCGTAAAGACAAGGTAGCAAGCTAGTCTGGCTTGGTCTGTCTCTCTGGAGTGCATTCATGTGCTCCAGTTGGGGCTATTGGATGGAATCCTCCTGGAGCCCAGAGGTGTTTGGAGGCCTCAGAGCATCCTGGGACCTGTGGCTTGGCAGTGGACTGGTTGCCAGGCAGTGGGCTAGCTTGCTGGATGCCTGTGTCCCCACTGATCTGGATACAGTTCTTCTATGCAGAGGTAACCCGACCTAGAGTCCCTTCCACAAAACAGCTTGTGGAGCCTCACCAGTGATCCTTGGGCCCCCGAGCTTTGGATAGGCAGCTCGTACATGCACAACCTTCACCCATCTTTCCTGAGTGCTCTACATGATAGCCAAGTGTACTTGTGTGACAGACACAGAGGGTGCTGCCCACACCTCCTTGTCTGAAAGAACTGCGGATTAACTGTAAGTGGCAGAGTTCACCAAGAGCCTCCAGCTGTGAGAGCCTTCCGAGCCATCTTAGCTTTTGAACGCAGGCTCAGCTTTGCCCAGGCAGCTCCAGCCAGGAGCTGGGCATGATGGTTGTCTAGAACCTGGTCATTTTTGCTCAGCACAAGACTCTTACAACAGGTCTTTGCTGTGGAGCTGCCTGTTGGCTGGCTGGAACTCAGTGAGCTTTGCACCCTCTCTGAGGGGCTTTCTGCCTGACCTTACTTCCTTCTCTTTCATCTTTCATTGGTATTAACCTCCCAGCACACTGACTGCATTCCTAACTCTGCCTCCACATTTGCTTCCCAGGGAATCCAGTGGCTTCATCTGAATATATGATCTGTACCGTTCTGGTCCATGGAAACAATAAGGAGATGATCTGAGCCATGGATATGGATAACTGATTTACAAAGGGCAGTTTGTTCAGTGGCTGGTGAGGGTCCCGTACCGGCCCTGTTACCATCTTCCATCAGGTTGTGGTGCAAAGAGCCATCCTATGTCCCGTTACCCAGGAGGACGGACCTCTCCCCTTAGAGAAAGAGGAGATGGGACTTCGGTGGTTCACAATTACAACTAGTTTTGTGTGAAGACCTACCTTTTCCGCCAGTGCCTGACACAGGCTGGCTGAGCTTCGGCTGGAAGGATTTCACCGAAACTGCACCTCGGCCCAGTTGTGCTTGTGCTCATGTGGGAGGTCAGCGTGGATGGGAGTGGGGACAGGTGGGGCTTGTCTCATTCTAGACTGTGACATACAGGACAGCTGTGGAGGCAGGAGAGCAGGTCAGACACGCAATGCCCCAGGATGGATTCGATTTCATCATGGGGTGGAGGTGGGGGAGAGATCACCGCTTACTTCCGTGGATCTGACTCAAGGAGCTGGGGACACATTTACTGAGCTGGGGAGCAAGGGAGAGACGGAGGTAATCTGTGGGAGAGAAATGACTTCAGTTTAGCGTCTTTTCAAAAGGAGATTGTGGTGGATTGACAACTGGTGGTCAATTTATAATCCCCAGCTGAACTGAGTAAGCGTGGTGCTGGGTGTGGCAGGCCCACCTGGAGATTGTTGCCAGCAGCATAAGAGGCAGAACTGGGGAAGAAGTTAGGCTGTTGGGAGCGGAGAAAGGCTGTTGGGAGCTGGTAGAAGCTGTAAGGAGTTGTTGGTTCCTTTGGAGGAGCTTGTCATACTGGCTTTCCTGATGAACTTTCATCCTCCAAGGAACTCGGGACCTTGTTGGTACTTTGTTGAATAGCTTTGATTCACTTTAGGGAAGCTCTGGTCCTCACTTTGAGCATCGCTTCCTCCAGAGGGGAAGATGGAGAAGCTTTCTGTGTTGGCTTTCCTGATGGGAACTCAGCTGTCTTCACCACTGGAGGAGCTCAGGACCTCACTGTTGCTGAGGATGGCTGTGGTACCTTTTGGGGGAGCTCTAGTTCTTACTTTGCGTGTTGCTTCCTGACTCCAGTGCAGCTCTCTCAGCCTGCTAGCACAGATCCTTCATCTCACTGGCACAAACTTTCTAGCTTCTACCACTGACCTTTTGGCCTTCCCAGCGCAGATCCATGAAACGGGCCTGCATGAGATATTGTTATGGGCTCTAGGCCTCCAGTTTGACTTGTGGGAGGCATTGTTATGAGCTCTAGGTCTTCAGCTGGACTCAGGCAGGACATTTCCATGGGATCCAGGCCCTCAGCTAGATTCCTTGCTCTTAGTGTGGACAGATTTCTTGTGCTCTCTTGTATATCATTCTTTGGGTGACTAGTATAAATAATTTTATAATATATGTGTCCTGTATTATATTGTCTCCCTTGCAAAAACAAAACAAAACAAAACAAAACAAAACAAAAAAAAACCAAACCCAACACAAAGGATGCCTGTGCAGCATCCAAAAGAGCCCAGCCCAGGTGTTTTTTAACTTTAGTTCTTGCAAAATCAGAGAGAATCAACATCCTGTCGGGCCTATTGCCTCCCTTTGGTCCCTCTGCTGGGCCCACTCATCCTTGTGCCCTCAGGCAAGGAGGGGCTGGCAGCAGTGTGGGGGAGGGAGCTGGAAGGTCAGCTCTTAACGCAGTGGGACCCCGCAGACATCCAGTGACTGACAACCCTGGACCCCTCACCTGCCAGCTTTGCACAGACATAGCTTCACAAACTCCCTGGACTGGAAGGGATGTTGGAGATCAGATATTCCAGCTTCCGGGTTGCCATTTTCAGACTGCTTCCATGGTTTAGGAGTCTTCCCTTTGATGGTGTGGAAGACCCTGACTTTTCTTCAGGCATTAAAGACACGGTTCACACCTGGGCCTCCTCCCCAAGGAAGCGCACGTTGCATCCTGGTTCTGTGGTTCTAGCAGTGAGGGACGTGATAAGTGCAGATTTGGGAACACAAGTTCTTTTTGTCCTTCACACTACAGCTATGAGAACAGTCTCCATGGTTACAGCAGCTTCTCAGAGGTATCTGTATTTCCATTTTCTATATTCTCCACATGTCTAATTTATGAATAATCTGTTTAGGTAACCTGCTAGAAAGTTTCTGCGTGTATATGAATGCCTATATCATCTATATCTACATTTATGTCTCTATATTCAAAACAAAAAAAATAGCTTGACAAGCATTTTTGATATTTTTTTTCCCTCCCACTCTAAGAAGAAATTTAGGTTGACTTTAAAAATTTCAAGTTAAACAAGATTCAATGAAAAAAAACACTGCCTTCATGCTCTTCAAAGGCACGCCCGCGCATAGAGGGGCTGGAGCTGACCTAATTATGTTTTCTTTAATGTAGAGTAGCTATTAGCCTGACGTCCCATTTGCATCTCGCCATCACGTTCAAACGGCTGGGACATTGATTTTTTTTCCTGGGGCTCCCTTTGAACATGAAAGTGCTTTTCCTTGTTTTCTTTTTTTACCCCACTTCATGAGAACAGTGATAAGAATGGATCAATAATTACATTGTTGGATAAAAATGAATATAAATTTTATTGAAAAACACCAGCAACAATGTGGGAAAGCACACTCGACAACCATCGGCCCACTCGACTCAATACACACATTATGAGAAATAATCACCTCTTCAAGCCCCCGACTACTTATTCCCAATGCAAAGAAATTACAGACCTCAGATAAACTGATGTGACCACCTCTGCTAGTAGCGAGCTGTTAACCCCGTGTTTGCCACAGGCCAACCAGTGTATTTAAAGAATTAATTGGTTTAGAAAGAGCTTAATCTTTCCAGCCAGTGTGCAGCAGCTAAATAAAACTGCAGCCCACTGGGAAAAGGTTTCTCCTTTTCAAGTCCTTTGAGAAGAGAATTTCACAAACTGTCTTGGCAATGTGTCCCCCTCCAGCTCAACGACAGGAAGTAGTTCTTTACGTCTAGCCTAAATCCTTCATGCTTCAGTTCATCTCTTTATTGCTGTTTAATCTCCGCAGGCTGTGAGGAGTCTGTGCAGTGAGACAATGTAACATACGGGGAACTGACAATGATCAAAATTAGACCGAAAATAAGAGTCCAGCTGTGCCGGTGGCGCTCCTGAAACCAGCGGCAAAGAAGTTAATCGCCCCGCCCCTGGCACCCATCCTGGGACTTGTAATGCTCCCCGGTTTGCTCAGTCTTTCCCTGGAGTAGTAATTCGTGTGACCAAAGCTGCTCCAGCCAGTCCTGCATCCAAGGTTTTGCTCCTAGAAGGGATTTCCGGGGGGAAAGGCTCCCAGTTCTTATCACACGCCCTTTCACCACGCCGGCAGCCCTTAGGCTCCCCGCACAGCTGTGCATGGCGGAGTTGCTCCGTGCACGCAGGAGGAAACGCTGAGAAAGCACCCCTCCACCCCGATTTCAATATGAACATCTCAACAGCCTTTTTCAAGTTTTCAGTTAAAAAAAAAAAAAAAAAGGAAGGTCGGGAAACGATAAACGCAGTCTGGAGGTTTGCAGCATCGGCAGCCCCGCACTCCGGTCACCAGGGGGCACCCGTGCCCTTCCATCGGCGACAGGAAAACAAAGCTGGGCATTGCAATAAAAGCCTTCAACGCGCGACCTCGGATTTGCAGCCTGAGCAGCATGCATGTAAAAATTCATGAAGATTGGATTTCCTTTCACGTACTTTTACTTCAGTGGAAAGAAATGCAGGTGATTTTCTGACCGTGCCTGCAGCGGTCTTTACAGAGGGGCTGCCCGATTAAATGAGTGGGCAGGGCCTGCGGCTGCCCTGCAGGCTGGAGAGGCGGGCTTCCCTCCCCAGGACTGCACGAAGCCCCTCTTCGCGGGTGGGGTGCTCTACTCGCTCTGCTCGCCCCAAGATGCACTGATGCGTAACCCCGCTTTAGAAAGGTGTGCGTGGTCTTCCACAGGGCTCTCTGCGGCGGTCGCGGTGGCTCCGGCAAGGGACATGGGCCTTAGAAGGCTTTTGTTTTCACAAAACAGCACGTTTCTTCCAGCCCTCGGCACCACATGTGTGAGACAGGGTTGTTTTCGGGGTGCAAGGCTCCCCCTGTTTCCTTGTGGTGGGGCATAGTGCTTGTGTTTCCTGGGCCTCTGTGTTTTTCAGGCTGAGCGACATGGTGGCAGGTGGCCCCCTCAGAGTGCTGGCCGCGGGGCAGGGAGCTCAGCCCTCCGGGCAGCACCCCACAAGTGAGGTCTGTGCCTGGTGGAAGTTGGGCCCGAGCCTGTGTTGGGCTCTGAGCCAGGTCCCTGTTGGAGGCAGTGGGGACCTACGGAAGAGGGGCCCCAGGGCAGGATGGACTGGACAGTGGGACCTGGAACTTCAGCCTGACCTGGGGCAGGGGAGGCCATGTACCTGGCAAGTCACCTTTTCTAGCTCTGGGCGGCTGTGCCGGGGCCCCCCTGCTTTACCTCTGCAATCCCAGCAGCTAGCACAGCTCCTGGCCCTTACTGAACACACAGACAGAAGGTACCAGGAGAAGGCAGGCCTGGGCAGTCCAGGCTGGCTCTGGCTGCTGCCGAGCCTGGGGCCATGTAGAGCGGCTGTCAGGAGAGGTCTGGGTGTGGCCAGCTTTCAGGGACAGGCGCTCTGAAACAGGCAGGGGTGACGGAACCAAGGACGCTGGGGCTCAGCAGGGACTACCCCAGAGTGTGCCCACATGCTGGGATGCTGGTTCTCTCAGCCCTTCCCTTTCTGCTGCCATGGCTCAGCCCACCTCCCACTGTTGCCATGGCAATGCCAGCTTCAGGTGCTTCCCAGGGCCAGCTGGGCAGCTGGCGCTTCTTGGGACTGGCCTGAGCAAGCCAGGATCCCAACTGTCCCCCAGAAGGTGGTGCCCTGGGTAGGAGGCTGGGGTTTCATTTCTACAAAGGAAAGGAGATGGGATAGGACTTTTTCTCAGCCATAGCACAAAAGCTGCTCCAGAGCAGGCAGAGCCCCAGCCTGGCTTTGTTGGCAGGGGCCCTGGGGCTGGCAGTGGCCCACGTGAGTCTCCTGAGCACTGCTCCAGCCACACTGCCTGCTCACCTCATCTCCTCACCGGGCTGGGGCTCTATGGAGCTTTACGACCAAGCTGCTGACAGGCCTAGCAGCCACTAGAGGCGCCCAGGAAGGCAAGGTCAGGCATGAGGCTTGGGCCCAGGAGGGTCCATCACTGCCCTCTGTGCTCCTGCAGGGGCCTGAGTCAGGGGACTTACGCTGGGCTGCAGGACTGCCAAAGAATCACTCCACCCCCACCCAGATGTCCTTGAGCTGGCCCTGGTTCCTCTGCTTTTGCTGTCACAGTACCGGCTCTGCAGGGCTCAGCTAGCTTCCTCTCACACCTTTTCTCCCCAGGGTTAATGAAGAGCACCAGGGATTTGGAAGACAGTCAGGCCCATCCTTCCCTGGAGTCCAGGAGCTGCGGACAGACACTGTGTGCTACTTGGGAGGGGCTCCGTGAGCAAGGGAGACGCAGCCTTACGTGTCATGCTCCTCCGCGGCATGGAGAATTTGCTAAGCATCACGGGAAAAGCTTTCAGCTTGGACAACATCCCTGCTTTCCCACGCTGACCCTATCTATGGTAACAACATTAGCACGAAAGGGGGCATCTGGGCACGGGGGTACAGTTCACAATACCTTGGATTTACATAGCACCTTTTTCTTCCAAGGGCCTTCGCCTCTGTCCCTTCAGCCATGGCCACACTGAGTGAAGCCTTTAGAACACAAACATCTCAGCACCTGTGACAGAGCAGGGAGACCGAGGTGGAGGCCTAGAAATGGTTTCATGCAGACTCAGTGCACTAAGCCTCTCCTGGTAGGGCTGGCCATGGCCCCCTGGGAGGGTATTCGAGGCAGGCCCCTCTCACTGGGTGTTCACTCTGTACTTCAGGATGTAGGAGTAGAAGTTGTGGTTGGCATTCTCCAGCACCATGACATAGACCTCCTGGCAGCCAGCTGTGCTGCAGCTGCCTTCCCAATAGCCCTCGTGGTTCAGGGTCAGGGGCCATGTGTCCTGCCCCTTCACCAGGGCTTTGGCAACTCCGTGCAGCTTCAGCTTGAATGGGATGTTACGGTTGGCGGGAAGCACACCGGACAGGGGCTCCAGCAGCTCATTGTCCTGTCCCCAGTTGCCAAAGCTCTCAGGAAACATGGGCCAGTTCACCTTGGTGTTGGTGCAGCACAGGAGGTAATTGAAGACAAAGATATAGTTGCCTGCTTCCTGCCTCTTCTTGACAAAGATCTTGAGAGCAAACTTGCCTGCATGGGGCAGCTGGACTTTCAGCTCAGTCCGCTTCTCCCGGTGCAGCTGGAAGATGTAGCGCCGCTGCGTCTCCTCAGTTATGGAGCCATCATCTCCATGCAGGGAAGCCAGGACGCTGATGCCCTCCTCCACGCCGAAGCTGATGGAGCAGCGTCCATCCCTGGTATGGATGACGGGGTCAGGGTGTGAGGGTTTCACGATACCCATCTGCTCCGAGAACCAGCTGGGGCCCACAGGCTGGTGTAGCTCCGCTGGCAGCCGGACCCCCAGGTCTACGAAGTTGCACTGGAGTGTGTACTCCAGCACGGAGCTGTAGATGTCTGAGTTGCCCTTGGCAAAGATCTGCAGCTTGTGGGTGCCCATGGTTGGAGGGAACACTTCCAGCTTCATCCCGTTCTTCTGGAGGCTCAGCAGCCCGTGCTCCTGCCTTCCATTGAGCATGAACATGAACAGTGTTGGGGCACAGCTCTCAATGGTGATGGTAGCCTTCCCGTTCACTGGGGAGAGAGTTGGGTTGGGTGAGATGGCTCCTGTACGTGCTGGTGAGTGTTTAGTAGTTAACTCTCTTGGGTGGTGTGGGAAACTCTGAATTACAGCATTTGCCCATTTCTGTGGTGTAAATCTTTTATCAAGATTGACTAACCAACCAGTGTGATGTCACCAAACATGGTATCAGTCAGCAGTAGCACAACCCTGGAAGGGGTTATCTACCCACTTCAGGGGAGCTGATAGCTGGAGGTGGGGTGAGGTCTAAGGACAGATCTGCCCCCAGATCTGTCTGTGCTCCTCCACCATCTGGTTCATATTGGCTCTGGCTTGCGTGGAGGGTCAAGGGGCAGGAAGGACACCGCCTCCTCAAACTCTCAAATCTTACTTCCCCCTCCCACCAGCATCTGCTCATTACTGTGTCAACAGCCATCCAGTCCACACGTTACCTTAACAAGTTGGAAAGCACCATCCCTAGAGATGGTGCTCTGCTCCCCACTGCCCCACCCCACGCTGTCACAGGGCATCTTCGCTGTGTTTCTGGAATGGTCGTCCTTTGTCCTGGTCATTGTCTTTCTGGGACAGGTGCTCTGTTCCCTGGTTTTTGTAGTCTGTGAGGACTTACCTACTTGGTCCTCCCTGGCTCCCACAAGCACGGGGAAGAGCAGAGGCTTCTCTGAGAGCCTGGCCTCACCTTCTCTCAGACACTGACTGTTTGTCTCCCCTGCCCCCGCCTTGTCCCAGTCTCCTCCATGGGTGGAAGCAGGCAAAGGAAGAGATAGCCCATCTGAGCCATGCTTACTGTGAAGTCCTTTCCTGAACCTGGTCAGGCCTCCCCCTCAGGGTGTCCTGTGAACGAGGCTGTCCCTACCCCTCATGTGAGCTGGGGTTCTCTGGAAGCCTGCTCCTGGCCCTGGCTCTCTTCAGGGAAATTATCATGGTGGTAATTAATTACATGAGCACTTCTGTGCACTGTGTGTCCTGGGTGGGCTGGAGGGTGTTTGGGGAGAGCCTGTCCTACTTCCTGTCACGTAGCAGAGCCTACTTTTGGGGGTGTTCACGGAGGTGTGCTGAACGAAGGAGGACAGGTGACTGTTGGGGCCCTGTGTAGGAGCCATGGTGTCCACTGGCCTTCTCTGCTTCCTCCTTCCCTCTCCCCTCCTTCCCTGTGCTCAGCAGCTTTCCATCTCTCCATCTTGGGGTTCTCTTCCTTCCCTTCCTTTCTGCCCTCCCAGTTTCCTTCTTTTACTTCTTTCCCACCTCTATACTTAACATAAATCTCTACCGTCAATAAAGGCAAGTTTGAGATGACTACAGATTAAGAAAAATGGTGTTTACATTTTTATGCCTCCTGCAAAGGTGCACTCAGCTCAGTGACATGGCGCGCTCTTGTCTGGCCTGGTCGATTGTTCCCTGTGGCTCCCTGGCCCGCTGCAGACCAAGCAGGCCTCCATTTGATGCAAGCGTGGTGAGCAGATTCTCAAAGTGAGCAACCTCACGCTGTTACTTTAACAGCAGGAGCTGCCGGATATTTGTAGCTTTGAAGAATGTGCGGGAGCTCAGCAACTGGTTAAGGAAACCATTGGGTGGGGGAAGAGACCTGCCAGCTGGAGCCAGCTTGGGGGCACCTGTGACCCCCAGCTGCTCCCATCACCCTGCAGTGTGGTGGGGCTGGGGCCACCCCAACATCCTCCCCTCATTCCTGAATGTCTCTCGAGAAAGTCTTTTCCGGCCCATGTCCATGGTTCCGGTTGCCGGGCTCAGCCTCATGCTCTGTAGAGTGTGAAAACACACCTGGCCATCATGGCCGCTCTGCAGAGGGCAGAAGCACTTACCCGCCAGGCCGGCCATGGGAGACAGCTGAGCTCGGTGTTCTGCACTGTCCAGCCCTGGGGAAAAGGCTGGGTCCTGCCTCTAGAAGGGGAGGTCTGAGCAGGCCAGGCTGAGCCTCAAGGACCCCAGCCCTTTCCTTGAGGGTGTCTGAGCATGGAGGTTAGGTGGTTACTGAACACATTCCTCTCCTCCGCTCACACTGCCTACTGTGTGTCCATCCTAACTGCCCCTCGCATCACTGGCTATCTCCCTATGGCAGCTGGCCGCACCCTCCATCCTGGGAAGAATGCCCCCAGCTCTCTGGATGAGCCCTATGGCTCCCCACCCTGCCAGGTAGACCCCTTATGCACAGTTACGGCTCTGAGGGGCCCATATATTCTCCTGGCCAGGAGTGTGGGAGGAGAACCCAACAGGCCAGGTGGCTTCTGTTGGATACCTGAGCTGGGGCTGTCTGGGGGCTGAGCAGTCTGTCCCCTGCCCTGTGAGCTGAGAGAGATGTACCTAGCTCAGGACCCTCCAGCTCTGGCTCCTGTGTGCTAGGAAACCCACAGCCCCTGACATACCCCTTCAGGGCATATGCTAGGGTAAGAGGGCTTCTGTCCCTACCAATGTGACCTATAGCCATGCCCTGCCCTGGTAGCCTGATGGCCTGGGCTGTCTGCCATCCCTGCATACCCACATGACCACATGGGCCCTGATCTCAGCTTCCAGGGCTGCTCTGTCCCTGCTACTGGTGCACAACCTGGCCCCCTGCCCCAGTTACCTGTTCTGATCATAGACACGTCCGGGTGGGCACTCAGCATCCCCTTGTTGTAGAATTCACTCTTGTGGTACATGCTGTTCTCAAACTGCCTCAGAGACTGTGGAGGCTTCAGCAGTTGCCAGTTCTTGTTGTCTGGGAAGTGGTCCTCAATGAACAGTGCAGGGTGGGTGAGGAAGTAGAACTCATTGTAGCTGGGGCAGAGGAAGAGCTGGTTAGGGGCCAAGGCAGGGGAACCTGCCTGGCCACTTTACTCAGTTTAGCATGGGGCTGGACTCTTGGGGGCCTTGGGGGCTTCTCTTGGTTGACACAGTACCGGGAGGAGCCCAGCCAACAACCCAACTGGGAAGTGGTGCTGTCATCAGTCCTAACGCGGGCACTAGAGACTTCTTCATGGCTGCCTCTGGACCCTGGAGCCAAAGCAGGACCCAAGCCACTTTCTGAGTGTCTGGGCAAAAGGCTTCCTGCCTCTTCAACACCAACGAGAAATCTGAAGGGTGCGAAGCTGTAATCCGTGGATGAGTGTGGGCACTGGCATAGCAGGGAGGCTGGGAGGTAGAGTGCCGAAGCATACACCTCGCTCAGCCCGTCTCTCCTCTGCAGGTGTAGTGAGGCCCGCTGTGGCTCCCTGGGCCAGGTAGAGGGCTGGTGCTCCTCTAGAGGGCAGGGATGGGGACTCAGAGAATGGGGTTCTCATCCTGAGATGGACAGGCTTTGCTCCCCCAGAGGAGCCACCTTCAGAGCAGTGGAGGAAAAAGCAGTGTCTGTGAATATGCAAGCCCCACGGCTGAATGTGTGGACACCCAGTCTGTGTTCCTTCCGAGTGTGGTAGTGTCAAGATTTAAGCTGCAAAAGTCACAGTGCACTCTTATTTTGGTGAATAGAATCTGATGGCCGTTGAGGCCCACAAGAATGTCTTGTGTGAATTTAGATTAAGGCCAGGGCCCTGAAGAACTGCACTAGTTCAGTGTAATGGCAGCCACTGTGCTCACTGTGGCCTGTGGTAACTGTACACTTTCCTGTGTAACACGCACACTTTCCCAGAGACCACGGCCCTTCCTCAGCCTGGAGAAGGAGGCTGGTGTCTAAGGAAGTGGTAGGAGACAGGACTGGTGTCCATGCGTGTAATGAGGACAGGGCCTGAGGGGACCCACTGGCAGTTAAAGGGGCACCTTGGCCTGCCTTTCCGCACATGGGGCCTGGGGCCAACGCTGACGCTCATGGGATTTAGGTGAAGAGAGTAATAGGGAGCCAGAGGAGGGATTTAGTTAGTGGAGGGGAGGTTACAAAAAGGTTGGGCCTATAGCTAGCTCCGTCTCAGCCTGAGGGCAGGCAAGCACAGCCAGCAACCCTAAGGCCACCTGCCCTCCTTCCCTTCCTCCAGACTTCTCCAGCTTGTGCCTCCCCCATACCTGAGATCCCCAGCCCAACCTTGACTTGTGCTTACAGGAACGTGAATTTTGAGGTGACCTTGTCCACCAGGCCGCTGCCCCAGGTGCTGTCCAGGAGGTGCCATCTCCCCTCCAGGTACACAGCGTTCCAGGCATGGTCAAACTCTCCAGAGAAGCTCTGTCCTGTCTGGTAGCCGAAGCCCTTGGAGTAGCCAGGCACTGTCATGCACTGCACACCAGCAATCCTGGGGGTGATGCGGGGTATGAGCAGGGTCTCCACTAGGCTGGGCCCCAGACCTGCCTGTCACGCCCGCAGTCCATCAGTCCTTATTGTCTGTCCTTCTTCCTGCCTATCACACGTTCTCACATATGTAGCCTTGCCAGCTTTTGTCCCTGGAGGGCACAGTGCTGGCCGGGGCTGACTGGCTGCAGGCCCTGCCATCTGCCCCTCCCCTGAGGCTGTTCAGATCTCTTCTGCAGTGTCTCCCCGGAGCCCACTTGACATGATCTGGGAGAGAAGTGAGGGCAAGAGTGAGCGTGGCGCTGGAACCAGGGAAAAGGGGATGTCGAGAAGCAAAACCTAAGAATGAGGAGGGGCAGGGCGGCTGGGAGAGCCAGGGCTGCGCAGCAGGTGCTGGTCTGAGTGCAGAGAAAGTTCAGCCCTCCTTCCTTGGCTGTGCCCTTGCAAGCCCAGCTGCATGGGGAATGGCAGACAGACTGGTGTCCCCAGCAGTGACCTAGGGAGGACTGGCCTGCAGGTCTGCCCTCTGCAAAGGTGGTATGGGAACCGCTATAGTGTATTAATGTCACTCACTGCCTGCCTGCTGTGGCCACGATTCTGGTGGCCCCTGTAACTGTCTCGGAAGGAGTGAAAACGCCTGCCAGAGCTTTGGAGTTATTTTGATAGTTCCTCTTCTATGGCTCAAACTAAGCTGGCACAACTTTCTGGGACCCCGGACAGTCAGGGTGGGTGCTGGCCACATCTGGGGTCCACATAAAACCAGCCAGTGAGGGTTTTGGCTGAGAGCACTTCTCTGAGGCCAAAGTGAAATCCCCAAATGTCCTGCCATGGCCAGATGGCCTTTCTCCTCAGCAGCCCTGCCCCCATGTGATGGATGGGGTGGGTAACTCCATGGCCGATCTGATTCAGGGGGCTTGCCATGCTAGCCTTTCTGAGGCCTTTGTGCAAATTTGGAAAGAAACCCCCTCTCCAAACATTTTCCTTGCTCTTGTGGAAAAACCAGTAAAGCCATGAACTCCTGGACATGCAGGGCGCCCTTTGCATGGGGCTCCCTCGGACCCCACTAACCTCCCAGCCTCCCACATGGTGCTGACTCCATGCCCCTCAGATGGGTTGAGTCTGCAGTCCAGGCCCTCTTCCAGTGGACGGTCCTCTGGGGCCAGGTCCTGGCTTGGATCAGGTCTGCAGCCCCAGTAGCTCTAAACATCAGGGCCATGGGGCCTCCCAAGGTAATGGGATGAAATGGTTACACATTTGGTAAAACGGTGGGGGAATTTTCTCTACGAAAATGCATAATTGAAAATCAGTAGAATATTGGATTAAGTTTTACTGATCTATATCTACAGACCATTTGTTGAGAGAGTCATTGAAGCAACACGTAGTGTCCTGAGGGTTTGGGTTCTAGTGCCCTTGCTATCTGTGTTACCTGCGGTGTGTATAACGGTAACCAGTTACCACATGAGCCTTTACCCTGCTGTACCTTGACAGTCCAGCCCTCTCAGGCTGAGGACCTTTGCCAGCCTCTGCCCTTCTCCCCACAGTTTTGGAAAGGAGGTCCAGGCCTCCCTGGCTACCTAGGGCATCTCACGAGGACACACCAGCAGGGATTTCAAAGAACAGGGATACCCCAGGGGCAGACAGCAAGAGCAACTAGACCTTGATGGTGAGATTTTCTATTGCTAGTGGCCAAAAATGACATCCACAGCAGAAGAACTGCCCAGGGACAGGAGGTGCCAGGAGTCCACGGGCCGTGGAACCTCTGGAAGGAGAGGGTGGCACGAAGACACAGAGCACCCTGGGCCTCATCTCTCATGACAGAGAGCGCAGAGAGCGGGGTGCTAGGTCATGCCGGAGGTGATGTGGGGCCGAGGGGGTGCTCCCAGATGGGGCAATGTGAACGGCTCTACAGTCTTAGAGTAGAAAGCCAGCAGAGAAGAGAGGGAGAGGGGAGAGGGTGAGATGGAGGCTTGGGTGGGAGGGAAAGCCTTCAATAGCAGGGAGGGCCACATTCACTCAGACTGGGTAAGGAGAAAAGTGTTGTGAAAAATATTTCTTTAGGGTGGTGATTCATACTTCCAACTCAGTGTTAGAACTGCACAGTCAGTGCAATGTCTGCGCATGCAAATAATGTGTGTACTTGGAAGCAAGAGGGGAAAGAGAGAGACAGACACAGACAGAGACAGACAGAGACGGACAGAGAGAGAACCTCTTTTTCCAGATCTCTTAGGAAGTAATGGGATAAGGGTGATTTTAATTTCCTGCTTTAAATTCCTCTATATTTTTGAGATTTACAAGCAAGATTATGTGTTACTTTTAGAATTGGAAAAAATTGATAAATACTCCTTAAAATTCTATCCTCTGGTGAATCATCTTCCACTGTTGCGCAGGACGTCTGTGCCTATTAATGTCTAGCAGGATGTGGAGGATAAGGGGAGTCCAGGGAGCCCTGGTGTTTAGTGAATGGCTCATTTTGATTGAGGTGGACTCATCAGCGGAGCTGTTGGGCCTCTGGACATACAGCTCACTGGTGCTTGTCCTCTGTTTGCGCCACCTGGGGTCAAGGAGGCAGGAGGCACATGTAGCACTGGTGCGGACTCCAGGTGCTGCGGTAAACCAGGGTGGGCACTGATGTGGGCAGCCTGGAAGTTCTGCTGGGAGAAGCCTGCCCTGAGGAGTATGTGCAGGGTACCCTCCCTGTGAGGGGTGAAGTGGGGAGAAGATCTGGCAAACACAGCGGAAGCTCCCCTAACTCAGGAAAGGGCTGAAGGAGGAAACAGGAGTGGCAGAGATATCCACTGTGGTCCAAGCTGGAGTGGGCTAAGCAGGGAAATCAGGGCTCTCCTCCCAGCTCTAACCCCCAGTGTGGCCCTGCCAGACACATCATGAGCTCCCAGGAAGGTTGGCATTAAGTGATCTCCAGGGGATGAGTCTCCTCTGACAGCCTGAGGAGAATTTGGGAGGGCCTTGGGGAATGCCTGCAGCAGGAAAAAGATGAAAAATGAACTCCGCTGTAAGTTTATGCATTGCTTGACTATGACACGGGATACTTTATTACCTGGCAGCCATGTGCAAGATGAATGGGACAGAGGAAGTCATAATGTAAAGCATTATTGTCAATAATCCATAGTTTTCATGCAAAGTCAGGTAATCCATATGGAAAACAATGACTATAGAACTAGTTGGGGTTTTGTGTCTAGTCAGGATGACACACAACCCTCTCATGTCATCAAAAGACTACTGACTGTCAGGTGCAGAGGCACAGGCCTGTAATTTCAGCTCCTTGGAAGGCTGAGACAGGAGGATCACAAGTTTGAAGCCAGCCTGGACAATTTAGTGAAACTCTGTCTCAAAATAAAAAATAAAAAGGGCTGGGAATGTGGCTCAGTGGTACAGCATCCCTGGGTTCTTATCCCAAGTACTTCAAAAAAAGAAACCCTAAATAACCAACCAAGCAAACAGAAACAAAGACCACCAACTGTATATACTGAACAAAGCACAGGAGCAGGCCACAGGCAGGAAGATATGGCATGACGCGGCACAGTACCATATAGTCAAATGTACTCTTCCCAAAATAAGGCTCAGGGGCTCTAGGCCTGTTCCTGGCTGGAAGGAGGGCAGATCTGTGAAACGTCACTGAAACACAATCTGTAAACAAGTTCCGGGAGAGCTCGATAGAGGGAGTCATTGTGCTGACAGGAGCTGGGAGAATACTGACTGAAGGGCTCACCTGCCAGAGTGCTCGACCAGCCATCCTAGAGCCCAGGATCCCTCAAGGAGATCAACTGAACAACTTCAGTTGAAGAATCTTAGCCTTTCCTTTCAACCGTCTTAACGAGCCTCATGCCAGTTCCACAGTAGAATATAGCTGATGTGTATCCTGGGCCACAAAGGGAATGAGCATGCAGGGAAACTGCAACTGGCCCTGGCAAACTTCCCTGGGACAGCCAGAGGATTGGGAAAAAGCCACTGCTCCATCATAGGAAGTGCCAGGGCTCAAGGACCCAACTTGGGAAGTTCTGAGGGCTTGGGCCCTGAGGCAGCCCACGACCACGTGGCTGCCCAACCTGGCCTGATGGACACAGACTGGAAGAGGTGCAGGCAGGCAGAGGGCAGGGACTCCTGGCTGACCTCAGTGGCCTTGAGGCTACTGCTGCTTCCACTTTAGTGAGGTGTGACCTCAGTATTCACTTTGCAGGTGGTGGGTCAAGACTGACTGTCACTTTATACTGAGATGGTCCAGGCCTTGCCAGTGACACTGTGTGATGCTGCTGTAACCTAGGCACTTCTGGGCCCCAGCAGTGTGGCTAAAAGGCTGGGCAGGTAGGGCCGGCCTGCTCATATCAGCTCTGACTACAGTGGACTCTGCCCTCTGTGATCACCTCCCCCAGCAACTCTTAGGCAAGGGGAAAAGAAAGGAAGGGAGAGAAGAGGGGAGAACAGTAGCTGCAAGAGAAGCAGTGCACATGTTTTTCTTTTAATATCTTGTTGGAAGTGGTGTGATCTCTGTGCTGCAGCAGGATAAACACACAGTGGTGTAGCTTAGGATTTGTGTACTTATTTCTTGCAAACTCGACAGTGTCTCTATGCTCAATTGCTGTGGTGCTCATTTTGCCTTTTTGTACACTATCCTATGGCTAGAATAATGTAATCATAATGCTAATTCTCACCCTGAGGCCCATGTCCTCTCCTCAGTGGTTCAGACAGGCAGGCTGCTTTGCCTGGGGACACAGAGCTAGCTAGGGGCCAAAGCGAGCCTGGAATGCAAGTATCCCAAAGCACCATTCAGGAGCCTTTGCACTGGACCAAGCTTTTGGTAAATCAAGACTTCATTTTAATAAATTTATGAGTGAAGGTAGAGTTTAACTTATAAACAGAGTGCAATTAGAGAATGATTTGCTACAGTGGTACAGTTCATCTTTGTATCATCCTTTATCTACAAGGTTGAGGGGCTTTCAGTTGTCCTTTTCAGAGGTTTTACATGACAAAATCAGATTTGGCAATAATTTGAATCTATCTGTCTTAGAGGGAGTCTGCATCTCCCAGGAAGCTTATGGCTGCTTCCTCTCTTTGGGGGCATTTGGAACCAAGTCATGCTTTAGGATCTTGGGGATATCATGCTGCGCAGAAGCAGCCGTCTGAGTTTGCCTGCCTCTGGCCTTGCTCTCTGTGACAGCTGGAGGATGGATGGAAAACCAGTTGACACCTGATCGGAGACAACTAGCCCACTCAGTGTCAAAGCCTCAGATTGGCAGTAAGCTCCTGGTTATCCAGAATCTCTAGAAATCTGCTAGCTCGTGGTGCTGCAGCCATTGTAGTAGAGGAAGAGAATTTACAGGGGCCAGCTCCGTGGCAGGAGCCTGGGGAATTAACCTTGTTCCCTGCAAGGAAATTAGGCAGAATCAATTAAGGCTGTGAGCAATCAAGGCAAAGGGAAAGACATTAATGCGTGATGATAGAAAGTCAGAAAGAAACTGGACCAACCGTTACTCGAAATTGCACTAACAAAAAGCCTCCACATCAGTAACTTGGGAAAGGCAATGTGGAAATGAATGATGCTATGAAAATATCTGAATTCCCCACCAAATTACTTTATTAAATCAGTCTTTAATGAGGCCATTCCAAGGAGGCAGAATGCACTGACAGGAAGTAATGATGGCCTTGTGGGTACAACTCTTACTAAGAGGTGACCCTGACAACCAAGCAGGGATAAATCAGCAAGTGTGGATTGCATGTCTTTAGTTATTAAGGAATTAGCTAATGAATTGACCAAACTTTTGCAGTTATTTTAGAGGTAAAGTGAATTAAGAAAGTGATGCATGGATAGGTTACTGATCTTTAAAGCAAAAATTAAAGGAATTTGGGGAAGTGTGAGCTACCGTTACATGTCGCAGGCACTGTGATGAAATTTGTGCAGGGTAACCGCCAGCCTGAAACTAACTTTAAGTGGTGCACAGTGTTGGGATGTATTTTAATGATCAGCTGCAGGCCAGAATATGGACATGGTTAAGCATCTGGCCGAGCTGGAAAGGCTGACAGTTTCATTTAAGGCAAGTGTCAATTTTCTGAGTCTATGTGGGCCAGCGCAGTCAGTATGAAAGTTCCACAGAGCAAAAACACCTCAACTGGCAAGCAAGAGAGAAAAGGTTATAAAATAGCAACTCTGAGGTCAGGTGATCAAACCCCAATTGCATGTTCTCACTGAGTCCTGGAGTCCCACCGAGTAGGCTGTAGAGTCCCCAGGCGTGGAGGAGAGAGCGGAGGCTTTGAGAGGTTAAGTGCTTACCACAAGGAACGAAGTGAGTGAGTGCTCGATTAGGGACTGGAGCTCCAGTCTTTCCAGCTTTAAATCTGCCACTCCTGCAGCATGCTAGCAAGCATTTACTAGATAAAGAAGTGTGTATCTTATGGCTTTCAAAAAGCAGGGTGTTTTCAAATTTACAAATTCAGACGAATACAGCCACATTCTGAAAGATGTTAGGGACAAATGCGGCTGAAAACAGACTGAAACGAAACTGTGGTGGTCAGCAGAGCTCTCCCAGGGGTAGTTATTTCATTATTTAAAAGAGAATACACAACTCCATCAGGAATACCCTGTCACGCTAAAAATATCTATTGAGGGCCTACTGTGTATAAGATTCTGATATCAATGTCATGGAGGAGGCAGGAAGAGAGGGGGCTAAAGACACATAAGAGTGTGTAAGACCTATAAGGGGCGTGAGGAAACGAACACAGGTAATGTCTATGTGCATAGGGTGAAGTCTGGAAAGGAATATGACAAAATGCTTACAGTATTTTTTCTACTTATCTCAGAGCCACTTGATTTTCTTCTTTTTGTTTTGCATGCCTTTAAATCAGATACAATGAGCAAGTTTCTGTTCAATTTTAAAAAGTTCTTAAGTGAGAGCACAGGGAAACACACGAGCTGGTACATCCGTATGAGGAGGACGTCATAGGAGGGGAAGGCGTTGGGCCTGGAATTGGGGCTGGAAGGAGCTTTGGGACAGGGGAGCAGTGCACACATGAGAGGGAAGTGTGGGTGGTGTCTGAGGTGGAGGGTAGGGATTTGGCTGAGGTCAGATTTTGGAGGACTTTGTAGGTCAGTGTGAGCTCTGCATCAGATTCAGGAAGTTAGGAGCAGGGAAGCCTGGGCAGAGAGACCAGTGAGAGTCCAGCTACCTGGGAGGCCCAAAGGTAGGCGGAGGTACCTGGGTCTGGGCCTAGGGTGGCGGTGGGAGTGAGAGTGGAGTGGGTATCCTGGAGGCGTGGATGTAGTGGCTAGGATGGTGTTCTCGGTACCCTGACTGCCCTGGGTCCATCTGAGGCTGTGAGCTCAGGATGTGAGTGAGGGGAAGAGGAGGGAGCTGAGCAGGAGGGTTGCAGCACCGTGGGACCAGGTGCATGTTCAGGCTTGGTGGTGGTTCCAGGCTGGGAGGCAGCCCAGCTGTGGCTGCAGGCCAGGAGCAGGATGCGTGTCCCCCAGACCCAGGTTCTCTGCAGCCGCCTGTGCAACACTGACGCATCATGGCTGCATGCTGGGGACCCCTGGTTGCTGCACTTGGCTTGATTTTTTTTTTTTTTTTTTTCGTCATCCGCAGTTCTGGTGGGCTGACATTTGGGTGGCTGAGAAGACCTACTCTCAGAGAGCGGTAGAGATATGGGCAGCTGTCCTCTTACTTCCTGAAAAAGGGACTCTTTGCTGGCCCCAGGTCTCACTGATTGGTTCCTATGGGAACCCAGCAGATCTCAGAAAGGGCTACAGAAAACAATGGGGGTCAACAGGACACAACCAGCCTTAAGCTTTTCTTGAGGCCACAGGAAACCAGCAATGACCGATTCTCTCCGTGGGCCAGGACCCTGGCCACATGCTCATGCCCAGAGCCCTGAAAACTGAGTGCAAAGATGCCTAGAGCAGTAGCTTTCTGGCTATTCAGCTTTCCAGCGGATGGATCTTTTCAGGTAGGGTTTTTGTTTCTCATACAAGAGGCGCCAGCACCAGCCCGAAGGACAGCCTTTCACAGTCCCCTTGGAGGTCGCAGCCACTGTCCTCTGGCTCTCAAGCCTGCCATTCTTTTAACCTTCAGCTGTATGGAGATGGGCGAAGGCGGAAAAGGGGCCTTTTATAACCAAATTATCTCCCTGCATTCATCTGCCATTATGTTAATGCATCACGAAGCTCGGCAGATGGTACAAAGTCAATTATGCTGGTGTTAAAAAGGGAGAAATTGACCTTTTCAGAACTCACTTGGATTCCAGAGCAGAGTTTGCAAACTCGGGCTTCAGGCTGGGCTTGTGGCAAAGACCCACAGTGCTTTAGAGGGAGAGGGAGAGGGCCGGGAGTTCCACCTGGGAACCAGACACTCACTGGCTGCCTGTCATACCTGCACATTCTTTCAAAGAGGCCAGCGTAGCCGTCACAGTTGGTCTTCTGGGTCCGCAGGATGTCAGTGGGCTTGAAGGCCTGGCGGTCCTTCTCCTGGGCAGCCTCGATGTCATACTCTGGAGGGCAGAAGAGGGCACTAAGGAACCAGGGCCCTGATGCAGCTGAGGCTGGGGCAGAGATGAGAAGAGGCCCCACTGTACCAGCACCATCCCAGCCCTAGCTGTCCTGTGGGCATCATCAGGCCAGGGGAGTCACGGTGGGCTGATTGGAACCAGGCACCAGACCCAGCTACATCTGGAAAGATGTCACCTTTTGTACAAGTAACAAGAGAAAGCTCAAGGCACAGGGAGACGGGCTATTTGGCTCTCTGGCCTCTGGGGAGGAGCTATATGTGCATGCACACGGCTGGGAGTGGTGAATAGTTCCACTTGGATGTTCTTTCTGTTCCTGCCCCTTTGAGACCAGGCTTACTGTCAGGGTTGGAGTGACAGGAGGTGGTCCCTTAGGCCCCACGCTCACACCCTCTGCTTATGTCAGCTGCGTTCGTCCTCTAAGCTGCCTCCCAGAGGACAAAGAAAAAGCCTCTGACAGGTTGAGAGAGGCCTGGTGGCTCTTCCTGTCCAAGGACTGTGAGTCTGTGCTGTGGCTTGACACCTCCATCTTCTCACTTGCACTTACAAGATGCAGCAAGGAGTGGCATCCCCTTGGAAGCCCCCTCTGTGGCTTGGCTTATCCCAGTGAGATGCCCAAGGCTGTCCTTTGAGAACCTGGAGCCTGGGCTCAGCCCTGTAGCCAAGGTCACAGTGTAGAAGCAAGCCGCAGGGAGAGCAGAGTCTGTCCTTCCAGCAATGGTACTTTATGGAACCTCCAGTGTTGCAATAACTTTCCAAACGACTGTGACTTCCTCCACCAATGGAAACCCTTTGTGGAGCTGGCCTTTGTCCTAGGCCTCTTTGTCTCTGTGGATCACGCTCTTTAGAAAGCCCAGATGGAGGAGAAGCTCTTGCTGAATGAGGATCTTGGCTCTGGAAGGTCCTTGATGGGTCCTTTCTTACTCACCCCAGCCACTGAGGAGTCATCCCCAACTTTCCAACACACTCTACACTCATTGGTGCAGGGCCTGCGGGCAGTAAGATCAAGGAGTTCTAGAGCCAGCTGCAGTACAGGTGGGCTTACCTATGTGGTGGCAGATCCAGATCCAGATGGCGCGGACCCTTTCCAGATCACTGTGGGCCTCCTGCAGCAGGTCACTCACCAGTTCATCTAGGCCACTCTTGACTGTCACCTGGGGAGCAGGAAAGGCATTCTGCATCAGGGCCTGGGGGAGTTCGGAGCTAGGCCTTGGATGTGAGGAAATAGGGGAGCAGGGAGCCAATGCAGAGCTCACCTGACCTACTAAGTCCTCCAAAATCTGCCCTTAACCACCTCCCCACCCTGTGCCTCAGACACCACCCACTTCCTTCTCATTTACATGCTGCTCCTTCTCCCAGAGCTCCTTCCAGGCCCCAGCCCAGGCTCAGCACCTGACACTTCTGGCCAGCCTTGCCCTTCCTCCGGGCAGGGAAGCTGAGAGAGAGGTACAAAGGGACAAGGCTGACTGAAGATAAATCACACGGAGATGGGGGAGTCAGACAGGGCAGGTGGTACTGACCAGCTGAATCACCAGCCCTAGAAGTACCACAACTTTTCTCTGAAGATCCTGGGGCCAAGTGGGTATCTGGACAGCTGTGGCTGCCTCTAGTTATGTTAATACTTCCAAAAACAATCTATGGATGTAACACAATCTTTATCAAAATCCCAACAGCTCTTGGAATGGAAAAGCCAGTCCTCACATTCATGTGAAATTGCAAGGGGCTCCATATAGACAAAGCAATTTTGAAAAAAGAACAAAGTTGATGGGTCTACCCAATTTGAAAACTTACCATGAAACTAATCAAAGCAGGTTGTACTGGCAGAAGGATTATGTAGAGCAGTGGAATACAATTGAGAGAAATAAGCCCATATATTTATGACCAACTGATTTTTTTTATAAGGGTGCCACATCCATTCAATAGGGGAAAGAACAGTCTCTTTAACAAGTGACACTGCAACAAGAGTTTTTGTTTTCCACACAACAGGCGCAGGCACCAGCCCGAAGGACAGCCTTTCACAGTCCCCTTGGAGCTCCCAGCCACTGTGCTCTGGATTTCCATGTGTAAAAGAAAGAAGTCGGACCTCTACCTCACACCGTATACAAAAATCAACTTGAAATGGATCAAAGACTCATATATAAGTGTTTAAACCATAAAACTCTTAGAAGAAAACACTGGCGTAAGTCATCATGACCTTGGAGTTTGGCAAGGGATTCTTAGATATGACACCAAAGACATGGGTGACAAAAGAGAAAATAGATAAATTAGAGTTCATTAGAATAAAAGATTCTGTACCTTAAAGGTACTATTAACAAAGTGAAAGGGCAAACTTGGGAGCATGGGAGAAGGTATTTTAAATCATATAACTGACAAGGATTTAATATTTAGAATATATAAAGAATTTCTATAACTGAACAAAAAGACAGTCCAACTCAAGAGTGTGTAAAGGACTGGATCAAATGGACGTTTCTCCAAAGAGGGTACACAAATAGTCAATAAACACATGTAAAAAATCCTTAACATCATTTGTCATGAGAAAAATACAAATCAAAGCCACAGTGACATAACGCTTTATACCTACTGGGAGGTCTACCAGCAGGTCTGCATTAGCTGAACGTAAAGTGGTTTAGCTGCTGTGAACAACGCTGCAGTGGTTTTTCAACAAGTTAAGCAGAGAATTACCACATTATCCGGCAATTTCACTCCAAGGTGTATACATACACCCCAAACACTGCGGACAGGGGCTCAGCCAGACACTTGTGCACTAATATTCACTGGCAGCACAATAGCCAAAAGATAGAAACAACTGCCATATCCATCCATAGACGAATGGACATTCACAGTGTGGTACATACATACAATGAAATATTATTTAACCAGAAAAAGAAAGAATGAAGTTTATCACGTCTAACACATGGTGATAAGTGAAACAAGTCAGACACAAAAAGGCAAGTAGTGGATGATTCCACTTAAGTGAAATATCTGAAACAGGCAAATTCATAGGCTGTGAGTAAAGAGCATGGGGGGGATGTGGGAAGGTGGATGGGAAGTCATTCCTTAATGCATACAGATTTTTTGTTGCAGATGATGAAAGGGTTTTCAAATAGATACTGACGCCTGTGCAACATTGTGAGTGAGTGTAATTAATACCAGGGAGTTTTATACTAAAAATGATTAATTCAAATGTCAAGGTTTTTTTTCTTTTTGGTTTTTTGTTTTGTTTTTTGAGATAAGGTTTTCCTATGTAGTTCAGGCTAGCCTTGAATTCACTTTGTAACTGAGGCTGGGCTCAAACCAGCGGCAAGCCTCCTGCCTCGGCCTCCTGAGGGCTAGAGATTATAGGTGTGTGCCATCACACCTGGCTAAAATGGCAAATTTTATGTTACAGATATTTCACCATGGTAACAATGGTAAAAGAACGAATTAGCCTTTCAGCGTCCTCCCAGGGAAAACCGGTTTGGGACTGCTAGAAAGGCAGCCTTGATCCTGGTCAACTTTTGAGAGAAGCCGACGCAACTGGTGCTCACACCTGCAGTGGGTACCTGCATCTCTCCAGCTGCACTTTGAAGGTCTCTCTGACCTTGCTCTCGCTGGGACTCCGAGAGTCACCTCTAGTCACCCCTGCCACACCGGGTGCTTTGATGTCATGGAGACGTGTGGGCCTCTCTTTCTCCCACTCTCCCCTGGTCTTCTGCTTCACTGTCTTCCATGGCTGCCCTAACTCCATGTTTCTTCTTTCCCTGTCCTTCTCTCAGGGCCTAGAACAGTGTCTGACACATCACTCAGTCCTGACTGACCCCAGACTGCCATTCCATGGCCTGGTCCTGTGGCACCCTCTTCCTGGCCTTCCCTGGCCACCCACTGCTCTGTGGCTGTGTCTCTGGCCTCAGCTGGGCTCCTGGCACTGGTCTGGCCAGGAGCCTGTCCCATCCCTTCTGTTACACAGGCCCCAAACCCTCAGACTCTGGACCCACCCTCTCCTTCGGTCTCCAGAGATGGCCAGGCTTTAGCTTCCCATGAGGCCAGGCAGAACTGGCCTCCAACTAAGACCCCGCTTTGCCCTCTGGCTTCAGCTATCTCTATGCTGGCTTTGGCCCAGGCCTCCTGTTCTGCAGAGACTGAGCTTCCTCAGCCAGGGTGTTTCCTGTCCTGCCTGCCCCCACTCCTGGCTGCCCCATGTCCACGTCCTCTTGCTCTCCCATCTTAAAATGCTCCCCCAGGCTCTTCCTCAGTCCTGCACGGCCAGCCTCCCCCTCTCTGCCAGCCTCCTGGGCACCTTTGTCCACCTCCTCTTCCATCCTCCACTCACTGGAGTCAGGCCTAGGCCCCCAGCCCCCTCTGGAGGGTCACTTCTGACTCTCCCACCCACTCAGACACGCTGGGCCCCGAGGCAGGGGATGGTGCAGCTCATGAACGATGAAGTGAATGTGGTCGTGGTCACAGGGGCGTGGGCCATCTGCACTCATGGTCTTTTCCCATCCTCTCCCTCCCTTCCTCTGTGAGTTGCGGCCTGGTACAGCTCAGCAGCAGGGATGCCCAGACAGGCAAGGGCAAGGCAGGGCAGGGCTGGCCAGAGGGGCCTGTCAACAGCGTGGCTCCTGGTGTACAGCCTGGGGCGGAAGCACAGGAGGCTGGGTGGTGCCCGGGAAAGGAATGGCCCTGGGTCCTGGGCAGCAACTGTGCCTATGCCTTCTGTTTCCTATGCACATGCTGTGAAAAGGCACGCCTGGGCCATCCATCCAGTGACTCAGAGTACCTGCAGGAGGGGCCAGGGGAGACTTGGGGGTCTTCGCCAGAGGGCCAGCTTTCCTACCTGTGAGGCGTAGCTGTCCAGTTTTTCAAACTGCTGCAGGTCCAGGGGCATGGACTTTAGGCTGGACCGGTCCCAGGGATAGGCTGGAAACACAGGGAGGTTCTATCAGCAGCCGAGACCTCCAAGGCAGGCTGCTTGGCCTGGGCCTTGCTAGCTCTTTGAAGCTCTGTGATTACTTAACCTCTAACAAATTTCCCAAAGCCTGAAACACTAGTTCCAAGAGCTGTGTCTCCTAGAAGGGGTCCTTGGCCTAATTAGTTTGGGTACTGTGGTACTCCTATAGTCCTTTTGAAGACCCACAGGGAATAGGAACTTATTTTGCAGACCCTGAGAAATCAGCCCTTTTTTTTTTTTTTTTTTGTATTACTTGTTACTGTCTTTGATTGATCAATCTTGCATTCTTACATCTGGTGGACTGAGCAACTTCGTTGAAGATAACAGTATGTAATGCAGCAACCACTGTTAATTCCTATCATGTTGTTTTGAGGTCATGTATCATTTTTTGTGTTGTTTTGTTTTTATCTTCATTGTTGTTGTTTTGTTAGTTTTTTTCTTTTAAAATAAAAAAACAAACAAAGAAAAAGCTCGCTTAACTTCAGTCCCCTGCACTGCTGTTCACAGACATCTGGATGATGGAATTCTCTCTCCTGCCATTTAGTTTTCTGGGGATTCCTGTGGGGTGCACCCAGGCAGTGCTGCTGGCCACTGACAGATTCAAGAGGGTGGGTCTGTGCCATGGACATGCAGTGGCGTGAGGATCATTTGCAACCGGACAAGCTTCTCTTGTTCGTGGCCAGCCGGAGACTAGAGCACTCCAACAAAGCCATCTGTGGAGTATCGCTCTGGTGTTGGAAGTGCTGTGAACACACTGGGGGACAGCCTCACAATCACTCACTCATGTCCCGCCTCTTGGGTGCCTCCTGCTCAGAGAGTGAACCTCAAATCATGTCACTGAGACAGAGATGTGGGGAGGAAGGAAGCCAAGACTGATGCTGACCCAGGGCCTGTAGCCACCTGGATTGACCATGGGACCCAGCAGAGCCACAGTCAGTGTTGGGAAGTGTAGCTGGAACTCGGGGGCCAGCCCTATCTTGGCTCCTGCTCACCTTCTGGTGCTGGAGGTGGGATATTTGCTGGACACCATGATGGAGATCATCATGAACCCCTGCCCTGTGGGGTCCAATAAAGCCACCCTCTAATCAGCCCCTCAGGAGAAGGAACATGCCCCAGACTCCTGCTGAGTGTCCCCAGTTCTCAGGAGCCATCAGGTAACCTAAGTGGCTATAAACTGGACTTCAAATTAACACATCTCCACTCAGTATTGCTCTTCCCTTGCCAGAAGAAGAGCAATGGCATTTCTAAAATGGACTTGGAGACTCTATTTTACTAGTTTTCTCCTTTCTTGGTTCTATTTTATAGTATTTAATATTTCACATTAAATACACTGGTGTTCTAAAAGTACTCTTGTGAAACTATGACCCTTCCATAGTATAGAAAAGAAGACTTTTCAAAAAGATCTATTACCAAAAAAAAAAATAAATAAAAAAATAAAAAAAATAGAATTTTGGCTGGGGATTTAGCTCAGTGGCACAATGCCTGCCTGGCAAGCACAAGGTCATGAGTTCAATTCCCTGTCCTGGAAAAAAAACCCAAAAAAAGGAAAAAAAAAAAAAAGCAAAAAAACAAAAAGATCTATAATGATTTGTGCCTCATGAAAGCTGCCTTCTGAGATGATTATATAAGATTGAAATGTAACTTTGCACAAATATGTGTAAGACACTGGTAAGATTAACTAAATCATTCTAGTATTAAAGTGTAGGAAGAAGTGCAGGGCTGAAGCAGGCCTTAAGTGCGATCTGCCCTCCTGAGGGGGAAACTGAGGCCCAGGGAAAGCAAGTGAGGGAAAAGCTGGATTCCAGCCTAGTCTACCCATCACCCCATCCCCATTCAGTGTCTCTTCTTCTGCGTTAGTCTGCTCATTCACTCACCTCCTACCTTACAGCCAGCTGGCATTCCTTTTTAAATTGATGTAATTCTGAATTCAGATTTTAATGTTTCTTGCATTGGGCAGCTTTGTTATTGGAAGGGGTTAATTTTTGGCTCTGGGATGACCTCTGGGATGAGAGCCCTTCCCTTCTCCACATGTGTCCATAGAAGACCACTCATCACTTGTGACACTCTTCTCTCCAAATTCAGAGGTGGTCCCGGACTCTCAGTGGCTTCCTAAGAAGCCACTGCCAATTGCTCTGAGCTTGGTGCACAAGGCTAACACTATGTTCTTTTGAGAATGGTCTTAGAGAGGAGCTTGAACTCACCAAGGGCATCTTTGTTTCCAGGCTGCCGAGGTCTTGTGTTTCCATTTTTATCACTTTGTAAACCTACAATAGCCCAAAAGCAGAAGTAGCGTCATTTCAGAAGAAAAAGAAATGCAAGTTCTGATGATTCTCTGCAGATCTTGATTCTGAGAGCTTTTCTGAGCTCTCCTTTTCACAGTCCCCATGCTCCTGTCCTACCCTCCACCAAACTGCTGTTGGGACAGCAGGGAGCAGTGGGATGGGGGAAGATTTGGAACCAAGGACTGGACAAAAGGAAAGGGAGCTGCAGTTTGTGAGCAGAGGCAGAAGGTGCTCTGATCTCACTGCTTTGGGTTATGGAGCAGGCCCACCGGGAGCCTGGTGCTTCTGCCTTCCTCAAATTCTCATCATTGAACACCACTGGGCACATTGAGAGGATGAAGGGTTCTCCTCTAGATAACAGAGGATGAGAAAGACCATGGGTAAATGAGAACAGGGGACGGCAATCTGTATGGTGCTTGGGATCCAGAAAGGTCAAATATGGTAGTAATCAAATGACAACTGAATCCTGTGAGTTTGGGACAGTTAAGGCCCAACGGCTGCCAGGAGTTAGGCCCTGTAGGGAAATGCAAAGGAACTTCTGCTGATTTGAAACCAGGTCAAGCAGGTTAGGTCCCTGATGGAAAACAGGCAGAACTGGAGGTAAGGGATATCAAGGCAGGCGCTTTATGTCCTTAAAAGTCACTTTAGGCTATACATATAATAAGATATTGCAAACATACGCAGGCCATTCTGAGAACCAGTGGCATTTTGTTTCTCACAGCAATGTTTTATTACCACCTCCATCCTTTGATGGAATGAAAGAGACTGAAAAGAGCAACTAGCTTTGCTCCCTGGTCTACATTCCTCTAGAGTTTCCTGTTTAGGCATGAGAGGGACAGATGCAGGGAGATGCTCCACAAGGTAGTGCGGGAGATCTGATGGCCGGGACTGTGCTGTGCAGTGAATCAGCCAAGTACTATGGTGAAGACCAGTGGCTTCAGAGTTGGATCTGAGTTCTGATCCACTGCCTAGGTGGGTAACTTGGGCAATTATTTTGTCTTTCTGAACCTTACTTTGCTGATCTAAAAAAGGTGACAATAATACTGTTACCAAGGACAGGAAAGTCACTGAATGGAAATTCCTGTGCTGTGCATTCTCTTCTTACACAGTCAACAAACAGTGTCTAAAAACATCAGCAACACTCTTGTGATAAAGTGCACCTTTAGCCATAGGCCTGTGTCACCCAGGCCTGATTCCAGAGACACAAGAACAGCGCAGGCTGGGTGTGGAGAGTCTCCCAACATGAAGCTGGCACACCTCCGCCTTTTCCAACTTTGTAGGGCCAGCCTAATCTTCCCCTTTCCTCAGAAGATGCCCAGGCTGGGATCAGCCCACCCTCCTTCCCTCAGTTTTCCCTGCCAGCCCTCTGCCCTGAGCAGCCCTATATGTACGTACATTTAGCCAAGGAGAACTTCTTGAGAAACTGGGGCATGGCATCTCGAGGGTGGACCTCCACGGTCAGCTGTGTCCCTGCAGAGGCAGAGAGGGAGGAGGGACTGTCTCAGCCAGGCTGTCAGGAACTCATTCATTTCAGAGCTTTCTTTCGAATATACAAGTATTTCTCTTTTTTTTTTTTTTTAACTGAATCAACAACCAAGACGATGATTTCTAGATCTAGGAGAAGTGAAGTAGTGGGGTTAGTACATGGCACCTGTCTCCCACTGGGTGAAACTATCCACCCTGGGCTGAATGCCTGGGGAGACGATCTGCAGACTGTGGACAGAGACCAGTGTTTAAAGCATTACCAAATTGGCATTTGCTCTCCTTCTCTGCCTTCAGCTAGACTGGACTCACAGGCATCTCCAAACCCAGAAGTACAAAATGGGTGCAAAGGAAAGGCACTCAGAATTCTCCCTTTTGGCTTGAGGAGAAAGGAGAAGATGTTTGAGAGAACAGAGGAAATCCCTAATGTTGTGTTTTCCTCTTTCCTATTGTTTTGTGACTCTGCACCTCTACATTTCAGTTGATAGCAGTGATGTTGGTAGTCAGGCAGGCACCTAAGCTTTCTCTCCTGTCAGAGGAGCTAAGATCCCAAGAGTAAGGAGGCAAATACTCATTGTCTTTTCGCTATTTCCTGTTGATTGGCCACAAATGCAGACACAGATACAGGGAGTACATGGCAGAATGAGGAAACCAAAGCCCCTGCTTTTTGGTTAGAGGACCAGGAAGTGGGCCATGAGGAGGAAGGAATCACAGAGAGCAATTCCTTAAAGTAGTGGGTGAACTCTGCGGTCACCTCTGAGCTTGGCATGCACTGATCTTGTCTTAAACATCCTACCACAGTTTTTCAGAATTAAACTCTGGGCAAGACCAACGTCCCAGTCAGAGTCTGGCTGCTGGTTGATGACCATGCAGGCAGTTTTGTGTAGTGTGGCAAAGGCTACAGTTCCAAAGTACTCAGCAAAACACCCAGGAAGATCTCACTTGGAGAAAGAAAAGGTAAAACATCAGCAGATGCTAATCCTGTGATGGCACAAAGGCAGAAAATGACTTTAAGATCAGCACCATAGCCATGCTCCAAAAAGTGAGGGCAAATAGTTTTGAGGTAAATGTAAAGATACAAAGTATCAGCAAAGAAACTGAATCACTGGGGAGATGCAAATTAAAACAACACTGAGATTCCATCTCACTCCAGAAAGAATGACTATTATCAAGAAATAAACCAATAATAAATGCTGATGAGGCTGTGGAGAAAAAGGAACCCTTCTCCACTGTTGGTGGGAGTGTAGACTGGAGCAACCACTGTGGAAATTCCTCAAAAAACTAAAACTAGAGGTTCCATTTGACCCAACTATTCCCCTTTTTGGGATCTTCCTGAAAGAATTAAAAGCATCATACCACAGCAATATATGTGAACCCATGTTTATAGTGGCACAGTTTGTAATAGCTAAATCTTGGAAACAACCCAAACTCCCATCAACTGATGAATGGATAAAGATTTTTTTTTTAATACAAGGGAGTACTACTTTTCCATAAAGAAGGATAAACTTGAGACATTTCTGGGTAAATGGATGTACCTTGAGACCATACTCTTAAGTGAAATAAATTGGACACACATGTTTAAATACTGCGTGGTTTCTCTGGTGTGAGAAACCAAAAGTGTAAATAAGGATCAAAATGCATAATAGATATTGGGAAATGGGAATATTTAAATGAGAAGGGGAACAAAGGAGGGGGGGGAAAGGAAAGAAGGACAAGAAAGTAAAAGAACAGAAGGAAAAAAGGAAGCAAAGGTAAATCACGAGGGAAAGAAGGATTGACAGGAAGAGAGGGGAATGAGGAAAAAAGAAGCAAGATATATCATGTAGAGGTACAAATTCTCTATGATGAACATAATTGCTATGTATATCTAAAATGTACCAATAAAATAGAGAAACACAGAAAAAAGAACTGAAGGAAGAATGGACAAATCTACAGTCACAGTTGGAGATTTTAGCACATCTCTCTCAAGTACTATAATTGAGAGATTTAGTAGGAGATTAGCAAATATATACAATAAGTGAACAATACCATCAATTAACAGGATTTATTTGCTATTTGTAGAATACCTCATGAAATGACAGCAGAATACAAATTCATCTCAAGTGCCTATAGAATGTTCACCAAGATGGACTGTATCCTATGTCATACAACAACCTTAAACCAGTTTAAAAGAACCAGCATCATCCAAAGCTGTACTCTGACCGTCATACAATTATACCAGAAGTTAAAAACAGACATTGATTGGAAAATCTTCAAACACTTGAAGATTAAGTACATACTTCCAAATAATTCTTCCCAAGAGGAAGTCTTTGGGAGAAATTAGAAAATGTTTTGAACTCAGTAAAAATGAAAATCCAACCTTTCAAAACGTGCACTATGAAGCCAAAGAAATACTTCAAGGGAAATCTGTAGCACTAAATTCTTACATCAGAAAAGAAGAGAGAGCTTAGATTGTTAATCTAAGCTTCCAACTTAATAAAATAAAGAAATAATAGAAAATAAAACCCAGGGCAAGTCATAATAAAGAAATGATATAAATATGAGAATAAATCAGTGACATTAAAAATAAAACAATAAAGAATAAATGAAACCAAAAACTACTTCTTTGAAAGGGTAAGTAAAATTGATAAACCTTCAGCTAGAGTAACCAAGAAAAAAAATTATGATACAAACTAGGAGTTAAGACACTACTATCAGGATGCACTGGGGGACCTTGCCACAGTCCCCTGTGTATTCTAAAGTAATGAAGAAATACTACAAAAAAATGTCATACACATGAATTATACAAATTAGAGGAAATGACCAATTTCTTGAAAGTTGAAAACTGTCATAGAAGACTCATTCAAGAAGTAGATAGCCTGAATACTTGTATATCTATTTTTAAAATTGAAATTATACTTGTTTGAAACCTCTAAAAAATGTCAGGCTCAGATGGTCTCACTGGTAAATTCTAACAGGTATTTAAAAAAAAGTAGCACCAATTCTTCACAAAATCATTCAGAAATGGACAAATGAATAGTTCATAACTCATGTTATGAGACCATTACTAATCTTATGCAAAACTAAAGAAAGCCTAAGAAAATAACACTACAGATCAATATCCCTTACAAACATAAACACAAAAAGTGTCTCCAGCAATATAATAAGAGAATAATATACCACAAATATGTGTGGTTTATTTTTTGAATGTAAAGCAAGTTTAATATCTGAAAATTGGGGCTGGGGATTTAGCTCAGCAGCAAAGCACCTGCCTGGCAAGTGCAAGGTCGTGAGTTCAGTTCCTGGTACCAGAGAAAAACCAAAAAAAAAAAATCTGAAAATTTATAAATGCTATTCACCATATTAACAAGTTAAAGAAAAACTGAGGAAACCTATCAGTCAATTGATAAAGATACATTTGACAAAATTTAACATCCATTCATGAGAGCTCCTTATAGCAAACCTTATAGCAAAATTTAACATCCATTCATGAGAGCTCCTTATAGGATAGAAAAGAATTTTCTTAATTTGAAAAAGGGCATCTACAAAAAGTATATAGTGTACAGCATTTTAAGTGGTGAAAAATAGTATACTTTCTCTCTAATATTGAGAAAAAGTCACAGATGTTCCCCCTCACTGCTCCTAAAAACACTGAACTAGAACTACTTCCCAATGCACTAAGACAAGAAAGGGAAATAAAAGGCATATTGTTGTCCTTATTCATAGGTGACGTATCTGTCCACATAAAAAATGTCAAGTAATCAAATGTCAAGTAATCTACAAGAAAAAGCTGCTCAAACTAGTAAGTGAATTTAGCAAGGTCACAGGATTCAGGGTTAACACACAGAATCAGTTATTCCTAAATTAGCAATAAAATTGGAAAATGAATTAAAATGACCATTTCCCATACCTCAAAAATAGAAATACTTAGGTATAAATATAAAACCCCCCAAACATATGCATTAATTACATGAAGAATATTATATGATTAATGAGTCATACCATGCTTATGATTTGAAAGATTCAGTACTGTCAGGTTGTAAGTTATGTCCAAATTGATCTATAAATTAATGCAATTTAATTCAAACTCTTTAGAGGAATTCTGTAGCTAGAGACAATGTGATTTTAAAGATTTAGATGGTAAGGCACAACAACTAGAATAACAAGCTAAAAATAGAAAGAGTATTGCCACTATCTGGCTTTAAGATGGACTATTAAGACTACAGTGATTACAATCCTGTGATATTGACAAGAGCACAGGTAACAGAGCAGTGCGACCGACCAACATGATTATGGACGATTTTTACAAACATGCAAAGGCAATGATTGGGAAAGGGCAAAGGAGCATACATTTCACTAAAGAAGAGATTCCGGATGGGAAATAAGCCCTTGAAAAGATATTTAGCATCATTAGCCATTAGGAAAAGGCAAACTGAAACCACAATGGGATATTACATTCATTAGAAGAGCAATTAATATAATTGAAAAATAATGATAATATTGTATGCTGACAAAAATATAGAGAAACTGGATCTCATATATTCCTGGCAGGATTAGAAAATGGAACAACTACTCTGGAAAATAGCTGGGCAATTTTTTGCTTCTCCTTTTTTTTGAGATAGGTCTTATTATATTGTCCAGGCTGACTTGGAATTCATGGGTTTAAGTGATCCTCCAGCCTCAGCTTCTTGAGGAGCTGGCAATAGAAGTGCTGGGCTGGCAGTGTCTTACAAGACAAAACATATACTTAGCAAAAAACTCAACAACAATATTCTTAGGCATTTAATCCAGAGAAATGAAAAGTTATGTTCACACAAAAACCTGTACATAAACGTTTATAGCAGCCCCACTTATTTTACCCCTAACTGGAAACAACCTAAATGTCCTCCAGTGAAAGACTGGATAAATAGTGGTACAGTAATAGTAATACTAATACTAGTGGTACAGTAATACTGGTGGTACAGTAATACTAAGAAATCCTTCTAAACAATACAAAGGAACTCTTAAGG